AGTGAGATTCAGCGTTTTCGACGCTTTGACACTGCACAAGGACCCACGCTCTACAGAGACAGGCAGTCATTTGATGGTTATCAAAATAAGAAATAAATTAAACAGAAACATACTGAATTGACATTTATTAACAAGCGCGCCGTTCGGCTCTGCCGAGCAACGCGCCCTGTTGGGGGGGGGGGCAATTTGCCCCCCCCCCAAGATCTCGAGAACCACGCAACCTAGCGACAAGCGGCAAACGGTGTTGGATAGCCCTATCAGGGAACTACCTTGTGACCCAAGTTTATTGACCTAGGTCAAACCGATGACGTCACAGGTCAGGTCAAAGGTCGAATTTTCACCGTTTACAGGCATTTCAAGAAATGCGTTGTAAAATCGAGTAAAATGCATTTCATTGAAAATCATCGATGGGGAAATGTTCTTCAAACACATATTTTGCTATTTGAGATCACTGATACCAGGTCAGGTCACAGAGGTCAGGTCACTGCAGGGGGCCACAATATGAAAGTGTCGTGTAATACATGTTTTATGGTCCATTTTACATGACAAATGCGATTATGTGGGTCAGGTAGCCTTTGGGGCCAACTTAGGTCACGTTTTGGTCAAGGTCAGGTCAAGGTCAGGTCAAGGTCAGGTCAAATTAGGTCAAATTTCAAAGTTGATATTTTTGCATAAAATGGGTATCGATTCGATGCAGCTCGTCACGGGGAGTTCAATGGTGGTCTTTGTTCTGCCCTACGTGGTCTAGAATTGCAAAAAAAAAATTGAGTTCAAAAATTTGACGTCATCATTTTTGAACAGTTTTTTCGCTATAACTTGGCCAAAAAACGAGATATTGATCTGAAATTTGGTATGTATATAGAAGAGCGCAGGGACTATCACATTTATTCCGGTTTTTTCGAAATTCGGAAACCTTTTGGATTTTTTTGAGTTTTTCTAAAAAAAAATCATTTTTTTTTATTTCTAGGGGTCCAAAACCCAAAATTTTGAAAATGCGAGATTTTGTAGCACCGCTTTTTGTCTACTAACCCATATAAAGAACTTTGAAATTGCTTGGTAACTGTAGATTTGGTGAGCGTTTCAAGATTGCATGTTTTTTGCTCATTTTTGCTTGAGTATGACCTCAGTTTGACCTCAATAACTCCTAAACTAAGGTGACCTAAGACTTGAAATTTGGTGTGAAGGTGTCAAATTGATGCCCGGGACGCCGCCGTTTTCTTGCTATTCAGGAAAAACCACAGGGGGGCCAAATTGGCCCCCCTAACGGGGCGAGGGTTAAGGACAGGCATTGATGATTGAGCGACTATAAAGTGAAGTTGCAACAGCGAATCAACCAGATACCTTGCACCTGATATAGCCAAGCATCCATTATGACAAAGTGGCTTCAGCATTGCATGCCGAGCTCAGCACGGCATGCAGTAAGTGGATAGCGGCAACAAATGTGTCAGTTTCGGAAACTTAAACATATGCCAATTAACAGAACCTTATATAGTGATTTAGCAGATCGACAATGGTGAACTGTATTGTGGGGTTCACGACCACTAACCACTGAAGACTGCTGAATGCGCTGACCACACTGGCCGCTGATCTTTCCCTGACGACCATTGGCCACTGGCTGCTGACCGCTGATTCCTGCTGGCTGCTGACTGCTGACTCCTCACTGTTAATCGGTGACCTGCACACCTGTGACCAATGATCTGCGTGCGCCGTGCCCTGTGACTGACGGTAACCCAATAGACAGTGACTGCAGTGACCGTTCACCAGTTCGTCGGTGATTGAGAGCCAGTGACTTCGGTGTATGAACCGATTGTTCTGCGATGCGTGGCGACAATGACGCCCTCCCCTCCCCCCCCCCCTCCTGATCACCGATCCATCACCCCCCGACACCCTGAGCCATCGGGTGACGTCACACCGGCTGATCAGCTGACTGAGTGGGCGTCATTATCGGGGGTGGGGAGGGGAGGGGAGGGGTGGCGTCCATCGCTCTGGAACGGACGAGAGGCACAGTGGACCCAAGCAGATGACTTCGTGAAAACAGGCGCAAATGAATCACAGTACACCTCATTGACGGTCTGCTGTGAATTTGGGTCGTACGTCTTCTGTGACTTGACCTGACATTGACCTTGACCTTTGCATGAAATTGTATGCCATGCATCTTTTGCATCTTGTTTTGGTAGCATAATAACGCGTTCTAGATGATCAAGCTGGATCCATTGTTCGCCAACTGGGCTCCAAAGTCATTGTAGAAAGTTGTATTTTTTACCCTTGAACTGACCTTGGCCTGACTTGTGACTTACTTCGGCCAAAACAAACTAGCTCCAAAGATACCTAAGTCTTACTGAGAGCTTTCGATTGCCCCTTTCCCGTCTTCCTACGATGATCTGTTGGGAAGTTCAAAGGGGCAGAATCTGCCACCGCCCTCTCCCAGCAGGGCGCGTCTGGCTGAATATCCCAGCACGGGAGGGGGAGGGGGGGGGTAGATCACAAGCGACTTTGCATGACTTATTCAACCAGTAAAACGCCTTTTGGGCGAAGAACGAGCGAGCGAGATAGTGAGCCCTGCACGTGTGCAAGGGCGAGAGGGTACTCCCAACGGGCTTGTGCAAAGCACCCTTCTAACCGGTCGCTAGCGGTGTGCCAAATTTGAACGCAATCGGCCCAGCCGTTCCTGAAATCTGGAAGCGGCATTCTGCACGTGCGCACGTGCAAGCGGGGTCCAAACTGACTTTTGCACGGCACCCTACTAACTGGTCCCCAACCGTGTACCAAATTTGAGCGCAATCGGCCCAGCGTTCTCGAGATCTGGGAGCGCCCCCTGCACGTGCGCACGTGCTGTAGCACCCCAACCTTTAACACGCGCAGTGGAAGGGTTGCGAGTACTACGCCCAGTGGAAGGGGGGGGGCGGATGTCGCCCCCCCCCCTAAGATCTCAGCTCCCACTGGAGCTAGAAAGACGAAATTTGGAGGGTAGGTGGGGGCTATGGGGAACTCTGTTGTGTGTGAATTTCATGACCCTGGGTCAATACCTTCAAGGTCAAATGAGGTCAAGTGTGGTCAAATCTGCAATATTAGCGACTTTTTTGCGTTTACACGCCGATAACTCAAAAAGTTACCTGCCGATTTTTTTTAATCTTTCACTATACGAAAGAACAAACATTTTTGAGTATGTATGGTGAATTTCTAGATAATCCAACAATAAATATGGCAGTTAGAAGCCTGCTAAGGGTAAGATGTCGCCTGCTGAAGCGGCATCGGCCAACGCGGGAAACGCGGCAATCACAATTTTGTGTTTACACACTCATAAGTTGAGTCAAGTTGTTACCGGCCAATTTTCAAAATTCTTTGACCATATGATTGCCTGTACATTTCTCAGTCTTCTTAAAGAATTTGACGCGAATCTAATATAATCAGCGGTAAGGAGCGCGATGTAAAGACGGAACCGTCCCGCCCCGGCACAGTCTACAATTCAGGCGGCGCGAAACGGCTAGCGCCGGCCGCCGCGCCGCCGCGCCGCCGCGGCGGCAGGATGTTTGACTTTACACCGCTATTACTAGAAAAGTTGTGAACCGATTTCCTTACTTCTTGCACGAGAAGATCCGCAATTCAATTTTGGACAGGTAGCCGAAATTTCACATTGATATTATGCTCGCGGCGCGACTTATTGGCGAAAAACAGGAGGGGTGGGCGAAATCCGCCCCCCCCCCCTTCCACTGCGCGTGTTAACACATGCAGATGAATTATCTGATGGAGACCTAACTGTGTACCGAGTTTCGATTCAATCGGCCCAACCGTTGTGCCGTTATTGAGGTTGCAATTTTGGGGGTTCTTAAAAAAATGTCCAACTTTACCAAAGAAGACCGCTTGTCAATCGGATGTCCCGTTCCTAAGATATTAGCTTTTGAAGAGCGTCCCCACGATACTCAGGATTTTCCCTTAATTCAATATGAACTCGCTCGCTCGCTGCGCTCGCTCGCTCGTAAAGAACCTCTTTGTCACACTGCCCGGCCAGATTTTTGCTGCTGAGGTCATTTCAGGTCAAGCTAGGTCAAGGTCAGTTATATGTGTTTGTATGTCTGTGTGTGTCTGTGTGTATACTGATGTGTGCACCGATTGTTTACGTGTCCATATTACATGAAATCATGATCTGAGAAGCTTTTGCCAAAAATACAGTCAAAAAACTTCGCAAAAAGTAAATTCAGCTTGCCTAAAACGCAATTATCTTAGATAACCTAGGTTGACCTTGACCCTGACCTTGACACCTGTACATCGTCAAACAACGTGTCCCATGATAGATGGGAGGTAAGACTGGCAAAAAAGGCCGAAATCAAGGTGTCAAAAGCTCACAAGGCCCATAGCAAACGCAAGATGTTGAGAATTGGCCATTTGGGTCATGACCTGACCTGAAAAACAAGGTCATATCTCCGAAACCAAAAGTCCCAGAAACTTGAAATTTTTAGTGAACATCAAGAAAGGATAGAGGAGCAGCTATACGAAAAATCAGCCTTCTAGCTCTAAAAATGTCGAGTGCAGAGCAGAAAGACTACCTGGGGGGAGGGGGTGGCAACCCCCCCCCCCCCCGTGTGCGGGCGAGGGCTAGAAGACCCGTGAACGGTGAAACATTTCATCTTTGACCTGACCTGTGACGTCATCGGTGACCCCGAGGTCAATGAAATTTGGTTTCCTTCGACAAATTTGACAGGCCTTTCGAACGCCGTTTGAATTTTGCGGATCCGTCCAGTAGTTTCGGAAATACGAGGGGGGGGGGCAAAAAATAGCCCCCCCCCCACCAGGTCGCGTTATAAACAGATCCCACCAGGGCGCGGGTTAATACCGACGTGCTAATTCACAGGAGGCATTCAATCGGCCCTGTGGTTCCAACAGTTGTCTATCTTTGGCGGAGGAGGCACGTGACTCCCACCCACCCCGTGACCCAGCTGAGAGTACAGGTATACGCCGCCGGCGCCTCCCGTCCCGACCCTCCAGCGTGTGTCTGTACTCACCGAGATGATTATCAGCTGCGGCGCATTTGTCGACGGTATAATTAGACAGCCTCTTATCGTGGCGCATCGGAACACAGACAATACGCTGAGGAATTCCAATACGCGCTCTTAGGTGGCTGTTCATAACGTCTGTCAAACGGTGATTACAAGGTGCCGCTGGAGAGACCGAGCGGTGGTCGAATCGGACCGAATCGGACCACGGACCGCGGACCACAGACCATGGACCATGGACCACAGACCACGGACCACGGACCATGGACCACAGGGCACCGGACCGCGCCGTGAGGAGGACCGTGGCGGCACTGGATTGGGTCGCTGTGGTGGCGTCATGCGTCACGTGATACCGGGTCACGGGACCAGTGCTGCCGCCTGGCGGTGACACGTAACTGTCCGGCCGGCTCGCGAAGCGAGGTCGCCCGTTAACGCTTGAACCGCGCGGAGTTACGATTTTCCTGGTTTTTGTTCTTATTGCTAATCGTGTAAGTTGATAATATACTTCAAATAAGTACATAATTTTGGCGACGAGCACGAATGGTGCAAGGCAATACAGTCATGAACAGGACCAAGGCGGTGAGCTCGTGAACGGGACCACGACGGCACTGGGCTGGGTCGTGAGGCGGACTACTGCGGGTCTGAACTGGGACGTGGTGGAACCAGACCACGGGGACACTGGACTGTGCTGTGCGCAGGACCACGGTCCGGTGGCATCGCGAGCTGGGCCGTGGTGGGACCAGACCAAGGCTCCAAAAGACTGGGTCGTGAATCGTGATGCCTGATCTGAAGTGCACTTCGACGAGGCACTTCGACTTCGACAAACCCCCTCGCCCTGGACTGAACAGTGGCTGACCTGACCATGGAGTAGCGTGGAGTGTGACGGGATAAGTAGGGCTGGGTAGTGGGTATGTAGACTGACTGAAGTGGATTGACCGGTGGAGAGACTGAACTGTTACTGAGTTTGGGCTTTGACTGAACTGAAGCTGACCTTCTTTGCACTTTTGGTCTTAATAGGAGCTTTCATTTACGAAAGCGTGAGTAAATGTAGTTCGCGACAGTTAGCAGTGTCTCCGCAGTCCACGACTGCGGCCTGTGATGGCCGACAGACTAAAGGATCTGAACATCACTGGCGGATCCAGGGGGGCCACGGCGGCCATGCCCCCCCCCAAGGCTTTAAGTGGCCTGTTTGCCCCCCCCCCCCCCAAAAAAAAAACGTCAGAAAAATTGCTAAGAAAATATACCTTGATGGAGATTTTTAGCCACTTGGTGGAGTAAAGCTTTCCACAGCATGATATGGAAGCAATATGGTAGCAGTGAGGGTCAGTCAAAAGTTGCGCGAGTGGAGTCGACCTCCAAAAAAGACTGTTGTTGGCACGTGTTTATGGCGCGGTAGCTGGGAGTTGGCGGTGTTTCGCGTGGTGTGGCATCACTGGCGGATCCGGGGGGGGGGGGCACGGGAGCCTGAGGTGCCCCTGACAGGCCCGTGGTGCCCTTGCTAGGTCTGTGGTGCCCCTGGACCCTGGCAGGCCTGTGGTGCCTCTGGCGGGCCTAGGGTGCCCCTGCTAGGCTGCTGATGCCCCTGGGACCTGACAGGACTGTGGTGCCCCTGACAAGCCTAAAGTGCCCCCAACAGGCCCATGATGCCCCCGACAGGCCCAAGGTGCCCCTGCGTGATGCCGTGATGCCTGCGAGGCCGGTGGTGCCCCTGCGAGGCCGGTGGGGCCCCTGACAGGCCGATGGTGCCCCTGCGAGGCCGATGGTGCCCCTGCTAGACCGGTGGTGCCCCTAGCAGGCCTGTGGTGCCCCTGCTAGGTCACCGCGCTGGTGCCCCTGGGCCCTGACAGGACTGTGGTGCCCCTGACAGGCCCAAGGTGCCCCTGCAAGGCCGGTGGTGCCCCTGTAAGGCCTGTGGTACCCCTGCTAGGCCTCTAGTGCCCCTGACAGGCCCATGGTACCCCTGCGAGGCCGGCGGCGCCCCTGGCAGGTCTCTGGTGTCCCTGACAGACCTGGGGTGCCCCTGACAAGCCTTTGGGGCCCCTCACAGGCCCGTGGTGCCCTTGCTAGGCCTGCGGTGCCCCTGGCGGGCTGGTGGTGCCCCTGCTAGGCCGGTGGTGCCCCTGACAGGCCTGTGGTGCCCCCGGGCACCAGGGGGGGGGGGGGTCATGACTCATGTGGCCCCCCTTGGATCTGCCACTGATACATATTATATTGATTTGTAATGGCGTTATGGCTTATGCAATATGCAATTGCAGGCACTTGGCATCCCTCACTTATCCCTCATTGGGGGCTCTGGCGGGCTCCTGAGGGCCCACGTCTATCTCCGGGAGCCCTAGACAGGCTTCTTTGGGTCCTTTCAGTCCACTATAGCATAAGAGGTCTCCATGTGAGTCCTATACATCTGAGGGCGTACCCTGACGTCTGAGGTACCCAACTGCAGCTCCAATGGTCTCTTACACTGGCGGATCCAGGGAGGGGGCATTTAGGGCCATGCCCCCTTCCCAGAGGCCTAAAGTGGCCCGTATGCCCCCTCCCCCAAGCGATAATGAAACATAGTTCAATCAGTGCCTGGCCCAGGAGCCAAGTTAGACAGGGGGTGTTTTACCACCTGCCGGCCCGCAAAGGGACCCAAGCACTGACTCGAAGCGGGTTAACTGGTCGACAAAAGCAATGGTATGTGTTTACATAGTAATATAAAGGCATGGGTCGGGTGGGCTACCATTTATATATTTTTATTTTTAGTTAAAAAAAATATTCATAGTGTCAGGGCTGTGACGAAAAATAAGTGGCCTAAATCCGATGAGAAAACCGGATTTGGGGGTACCCTAGGTTTGGCTCCTGCATGAGTTGCCCCCCCCCCCAAAACGCAAGCCTGGATCCGCCAGTGCTGAACATACACCTTTAAGCTCAAGACTTTCATTGTCCGAGATTTAACCTTCCAGGCGGTGGGGGGGCATTTTTTTGCCCCCTCTTTAGTTTTTTCGATATATCTCGAGAACCGCTGCGCCGATCGTCACCAAACTTTCAGTACCCTCCCGGGAGCAGCTAGTGCACATGGTGACCAAAAATTTTTCCAAAGGCTATGATAGGTTGGCCGCTAATGACGTCAGAGTGAGGTCATTTTTGCCATTTTCGACCCAAAAAAAGGTTTCGCGGGAAGAGCTGTCAGGCCTACAACTTTAGAGATACAGAAAAATGTGGCAACATAAAAGGTGTGAAATTGAAAGGGCTACAAAACTACTATTTCGGTTTTTCGTTTTTTTTCGATTTTGACCCCCAAAAATAAAAAAATATATTTTTTTGATATAATAGCCAAAAAATCCAAAAAGTTTTTTGAATTTCGAAAAAACCGGAATATATGTGATAGTCCCTACCGCCTTCTATCTACATACCAAATTTGAGATCGATACCTCTTTTTTTGGCCAAGTTATAGCGAAAAAACTGTTCAAAATTGATGACGTCAAATTTTCAAACTCAATTTTTAGCAATTCTAGACCTCGTAGCGCAAAACAAAGACCACCATTAGACTCCCCGTGACGAGCTGCATCGAATCGATACCCATTTTATGCAAAAATATCAACTTTGAAATTTGACCTTTTTTGACCTGACCTTGACCTGACCTCCACCAGAAAGTGACCCAAACCGTACCTGATGGTCTTATAACCAACATCATTGAGTTGGAAATGAAAAACTGGCCATAAAACATGCATCGCATAACCTTAGTAAAGTTGGGCTCATGTGGTGACCCTTGGTGACCTTTGGTGACCTGACCTGTGACCTGACCTGGTATGACCAGTGACCTCTAATAGCAACATATGTACTAGACATCTGACGCCTTATCGCTGATTTTCGACAAAATGCGTTTTACTCGGTGTTATAGCGCTTTCCCTAGAAGCCCCGTGAACGGTGAAACATTTTATCTTTGACCTGACCTGTGACGTCATCGGTGACCCCGAGGTCAATGAAATTTGGTTTCCTTCAACAAATTTGACAGGGCTATCGAACGCCGTTTGAATTTTCCGGATCCGTCCAGTAGTTTCGGAGATACGGGGGGGGGGCAAAAAAGTGCCCTCCCCCCCCCCCCCCACCGCGCGGAAGGTGGCTGGTAGGCCCACCGCCTGCCGGGTTAATTGAGAATTGGGCTTTGATTATGGAACAATGCTGGAAATCGTTCGGTAGGGGAAGTTGGGGGAACGCCGAATACTTTTTTCTGACGCCCGTAGCACGCAAGGTAGACAACATAAGCTATTCTTGTTGGCGTCATTCGAGAGGCCAGTCTTTTGCCTTTCAAACATACCAGGCGCATTTGATGAATTCGCATACCGTTAAGCGCACAAACTAGAAATATCAAAGAAGTGACTTTTTCGGCGTTGCCCCGGACTGCGGGAAAGCCGAAAATGGGAGAAATGATCTACGGGGAATGCCGAAATTGATGTTTTGCCATTTTATCTCAAACTTTATCCAGAATTCATCAAAGCTGACATGGGTTTTAAGAGCTTGAGGACGCTTGGTGCACACTGGAAGTTATAATTGTGTGATATAATAAGAAAAGGCCAGGTAAATCATTCCTTAGAGGTAACAGGCCGTTGTGTCGGTTGAAAGTGTAATTTGTGTGACTAAAAATACGCGTTGCTATTCTACAGCAGTAAAGTCCACGTAGAGTGCTTTAACGTGCGTAATTGCACGTTTTCGGCATTACCCCAGCCAGCCATACTTTTATTTGCAGGCCAGGCCCATAACTTTTCAACGTGCTGTATAAATTTCAAATAGGCAGCACACTTATGCAAAGACATGCTGAAGATTACTTGACCGAATTGGCCAGACAAACGGTAGCATAATGAGTAAGAAATGCAGCTTCAAAGGCGCATGTAGTACAAGGGAAACGTACCTTGAAAACGCTCTTGGCGCCCTCACAGCCGAAGTATTCCGAATGACGACTCGTAACAAACATGCGATAATTGTAGTCACTTAACCCTCGCCCGCACATGGGGGGGGGGGTGGTTGCCACCCCCCAGGTAGTCTTTCTGCTCTGCACTCGACATTTTTAGAGCTAGAAGGCTGATTTTTCGTATAGCTGCTCCTCTATTCTTTCTTGATGTTCACTGAAAATTTCAAGTTTCTGTAATTTTTAGTTTCGGAGATATGACCTTGTTCTTCAGGTCATGTCATGACCCAAATGGCCAATTCTCAACATCTTGCGTTTGCTATGGGCCTTGTGAGCTTTTGAC